ACTAGAACCAAAATGCTTAAACACTTGCTTCTTCTCCAATCGTTCTTCTTCTGCCTCATCAATGTAAGCAAAATCTTGTCTTTCTGAATCTTGACTTCATCGTAATTCCTCTGTTTTTCCAATCTCTGATTCGATGGTTCGACTAGGAATCGAATTGGGTTTGTTTGATTAGTAAAAAAATTCAGTTTTTAAAAAAAAAAAAATAAACATTGCGGTTTCTGGATTTTGTTATTGTCTGAATCAATGGTGGTTTTGTGGAGACAATGCAGGTAGTTTTCGTCGGAGGACGGTTAATCGGCGGCGGTTTCTCATCGGAAGAGAATCCATTCACACCAAAAGCATCTCTAATCCGTTACTGGAACAAAGAGATCCATGGCCAATCTCTCAGATCGGAGTTTCTAATCTCCAAAGCTTCACCGTTAACCGCCGTAGAATCCGCCACTTTCTCAAAACTCGCCGCCGAGAACTCGCTCCCGACTCGTTTCCCCGATTTCTGCTCCGCCGCAAACCTATTCTGTTTTCCCGATTTAACCCCGAGTCTCGAGAAACACGACTCCGACTCCAAATTCTCCGTCTACGACCAAAAGAACTTCACAAACTACGGCAGTGCTCGTGCCGGAGGCACCGACTCGTTCAAAACCTACTCAAAAGACGGTAACGTCGTCACCGACTCATTCCGTAGATACGGCCGTAGCGCGGCCGCTCACGACGAGAAATTCACCGTTTACGCCGAGAGCAGCAACGTCGTGGAGGAGAATTTTAATTCGTACGGTACTTTCGGTACAGGAGGAGCCGGAGAATTCACAAACTACCAAAACGGAGTTAACAATCCGACGAGCCGATTCACGGCGTATTCCGACGGTGGTAACGGAAAGACTCAGTCTTTCAAAACCTACACTCACGAAGCTAATGCCGGTAACGGCCAATCGTTCACTTCTTACGGCAAAAACGGTAACGGATTACCTAACGAGTTCGCTTCCTACGGCGTCTCCGCGAATGTAATCGGCTCTGGTTTCTCGAATTACGGCGAGAGCGGAAATGCCGCGAACGACACTTTCACAAGCTACGGAAGCGACGGTAATGTTCCTCAGAACAACTTCAAAAACTACGGTTCTTCCGGTAACTCAGCGGTGGACACATTCGCGAATTACAGAGATAAGGCCAACGTCGGAGACGATTCGTTCTCGTCTTACGCGAAAGACTCGAACGCGGAGAAGGTTAATTTCGTAAATTACGGCCAATCTTTCAATCCCGGATCGGAGACTTTCACCGGTTACGGTAAAGATGCGGTAAATCACAAAATCAGCTTCAAGACATACACACCGAACTCGACGTTCAAGGATTACGCGAAAAAAGGCGTCGGATTCGCTAAATACAACGTGTCGTCTAGCTCAGCAACCACCGCCAATGGCGAGGGCAAAACCGTAAATAAGTGGATCGAGCCGGGTAAGTTCTTCAGGGAATCTGTTCTTAAGGAAGGAACAGTGATTCCTATGCCTGACATTAAGGATAAAATGCCTAAAAGGTCGTTTTTACCCCGGAGTATTATTACCAAACTACCCTTCACCGCTTCGAAAATCGGCGAGATCAAGAGGATCTTCCACGCCGGAGAGAACTCGACGATGGGGGGTATAATCACGGAGGCGGTGACGGAGTGCGAGAGAGCACCGAGCGTCGGAGAGACGAAACGGTGCGTCGGTTCGGCGGAAGACATGATCGATTTCGCCACTTCGGTTCTCGGTCGGACCGTGGTGGTCCGAACGACGGAGAATGTTGCCGGGTCAAAGCAGAAAGTGGTGGTCGGAAAAGTCAACGGGATCAACGGTGGTAAAATAACGAAAGCCGTGTCGTGTCACCAGAGTTTGTACCCGTACCTATTGTATTACTGTCACTCGGTGCCTAAGGTTCGAGTCTACGAAGCGGATCTTCTTGAATTGAACACTAAGAAGAAGATTAACCATGGGATCGCCATCTGTCACATGGACACTTCATCATGGGGTCCGAGTCATGGAGCTTTCTTAGCTCTCGGGTCGAAACCGGGTCGGATCGAAGTTTGTCATTGGATATTTGAGAACGACATGAACTGGGCTATTGCTGATTAAAGAAAGATCGGAGGTTCGAATCCTGCGTCTGGATTTATTTATCATCATC